GAACACGTTTAGCAATTCTATTTATGTAACACTATAAGGAATTGTAGCTACATGCTGATAAACTGTATATATTTTCGAATATGCAGATAATATAAGTTGAGACTACAATTTTACGAGATTATGTGACGACATTAGAGCAGTTAGAAAATCTCTAGTGATCTTTCCAAGTTGTTTATAGTCGATTGAACTATCCTTCGTTTTCCTTCGTACATGCATGCATGAAGATTTGGCTCACAAGTTTCACTGAAGGCATATATATTCCTATAGCATTTGGAAGCCACGCATCCTGCTCTTCTTGAATCTCGATGTTATTTTTTTTATGTAAAATTAAAGAACTTATTAACAATTCATGTAAAAAATTTAAAAGCAATGAATGTTCAATCAACGTTTGTAAATTGGATAGTGATTACGTCTTTATTTGGATAAAATTTATATAGCTTCGAATTTCTCGGCTAAAACGAACCATATCGGCAAAATAGTTGGTAGCTTGATTAAATCGATGCATTCGTATTTTAAGTTCGTTAAAATATTTGCGTCCGATAAAGATCGACCGCCTGCATTTTAACTACTGCTGTTTATTCAACAAGTTACCACATGTTACTGCTGTTAGGCCTGTTAATGTTAAAATTGTTAGCATTCACAGTTAAAAGCATGTGTAGTCTTTGGGGGTGTTTTGCGAGATCTCCATTTTCAAAAAGTTTTCGTTTACATGAGAAGAGGGCTAGCCCTACCAAGCGGGATCTCGCTATTCACTACCCGAGATCTAGATCTCGCGTAATAAGGCTCGAAATTTTCCATGCAAACGCAACAGAGAGGGCTAGCCTCCTCGTAGGGCTGAGTAAAAATCCAGCCGTATCTGCATCAAACTAAACTTTTCAAGTTTTTAGTCGATTCATATTAGTAGCTCTAGAACAATATTCAGTTTTCTGTTTGCTATTTTTCGAAAATTTGCTCGGCAAAATATATTTTGGTCTTCATAATTAAGGAAATGACGGTATATGTAGAATATCTGAAGAACGAACTTTGAGATGAACGATCTTAAGAGCGGTTGTCTGTAATAGTCGGGTAAGATGTGTAAAATAAGAAAATTCAAAATCCTTCAAACTTTGTCAGAATATAGGCCTGTATGAAGTATTAATGTTGTGAAAGTTTTATTTCGATCGGATAAATATTGAAGGAGAGAGACGTCGAAATTGGTTTTCCCAGGCCACTTTCGATTTTTAGAGGTCATTTTACGGCACTACCAAAATCGCTCTATTTTGCACGATAATGGGAATATTTCACAAAACATGATTTCGTTTTATAAACTAGAGATATTTATTGATTTATAGCAGACGAAATTTAGAGACATTTCTGTAAAAAGTGAATATTTTACAGATTTTCTTAATGTTTTTTATTTTCGAACCTCTTTATTATATGTCATATTAGGCAGCGAATATCTCGATTGTTACATCGATTCAGACAAAAAATTCATAACCAGGTTAAAGAAATATGTTTTCGCTTGCTATTGATCAAATAAAATTTTGGGGCAACTTAGAATTGAATTTTTGACGAATTTTATTGTAACCCCTATTTGACCGGAATAACCGTATGTTATTAAATATAATCAGCGTCGAGTCATGTAGTTCAATAAATAACCAAACAGCTCGTCAAAAGCGTTTATTTCTTGAATAAACAAGCCTAGGCCTATAAAACTACCTTAGCTAAAGCTGTACGATTGGCTGAAAGCATTTAGGTCTAAATCACACTGTTTACAGTCGCTTATTGTTCAGGTAATGCCCGATAGCCGGTGTCCCAGTTGATTTGGACCCCCGTAGATTTGGACCCCCGGTCTATATTTTATCATGGATATGCTGTGATAAAGTATAGCGAGTATATTTTCTATCCCCCTCTCATAAACTCGTGTTCTCACAAATTAAAATATGTGCACACGCTTTTTGTAAAAACATGGGCCATTTGCAAGGTCATACGATGGAAACGTCGCATTGTTTTGACGTTTTTTAGTCGTATTCCGGTTAGGTTAGCTCACGCGATTGTCTGAACAAAAATATAGACTAGCCATACCTTTCGCCGAAAATAACTTCGGCCCCATCAAACATATCGTCTTTGTAATAGTCTTGTTCGAATCCCCATCAAAAACACTATTTAGAGTGTTATTTGCAAGCCTGTATCTTCAAATTTGCATCTTTTATCACGGTATTTCCATTTCTTGTCCGGCTGTGAGCTCGAAGCTCGAAGTAATTTGATAGTATACGATCGCATTTGACTTTTAAACTCCCATAAATCGCTACAATGTTAATAATGACTATAACTATCGGAATTAGTTGATCTTTTATTTCTGAATCGAATGGTGGTATTCCTGTCTTCATAGCATGCACTGAACCGAAGATATGAAATTTCTAGCCGTCAACCTCTCGAGGACGACCTCGCAAAGAGTTTTAATTTAATTAATATTAAAGCTGGATTCTTTCACCGTAATGTCATGCCAAAAGGTGTCTTTTCTATTTTTAAAAAAGATCCCGGCTCTATTGATTTGTGATTTGGTAATATTAATTACAGTTGTATATTTGATTATTTTCTTAGTGCTCAATAAAGTTTAAATTTGTTCTGAGAAAACAGTCAAACTTCAGACCAAACTTCTACGCAGTTATAACTTATTTAGTAGTTTAATTAACTGCCCATCACTTTTAAAACAGCAGGAAGATAAAGACACGTAACGTGTACGGGTGAGTTATCCATGAAATAAATAATTGTTTTACAAAATGAATTCCGTCTTTGTGGATAAAAATTAGTTATAAATAATCTCTCCTGTATGTGTTAAATGCTACATGTAGGGATTCCCCCGGTATATTCCTTCTCTTTTGTATGGCTGTTTGTGAGGGATTAGGTATGGCTGTTTGTTAGGGATTCCCCCGGTATATTCCTTCTCTTTTGTATGGCTGTTTGTGATTATACTCGTCTCTTGTCACTGGGTCATGTGGTGCCAGCAACTCTAATCCAGCCGATTCAGAATGCGTTCTTCTTAATGATTGTGATAAAAGAAATCAAGGGAAACCTGAGGTCGCACGACGTTAGCTAGGATTCCAGTTTGCACAGAGTCTTGTCTTCCACCTGCACGAACCGATTAGTTCATTATCTTCTATCTGACATATACTTTTGATCCAATTTCAATTAAATTTATCCAACCATTTCTGGATGATACATTTACAACACAGGCAGTACTCAGGCCAAAGAAAAGTCAAGAAAGGCAGGCCAACTTTCCCAGAGGGGGGCCCGGAATGGTGGAATTGTGCAACGTGTTAAATATTAAGGAATATTCTGAAATTGAGGTCGAAAAAGGTCTGAAAAGTATTTTGACACCCCCCCCCCCCCC